GGCAAACCTGCCTTTATGTTGCAAATGTACTTCTGCTCTAGGAAAAACAAACCCTTAAAACACGCTTTTGTGAAGATTTATGCTGAAATTACAATCATTCAGTCCTTAAAATATAATATAAAATAATAAAAATAATATAAAATAAAATATTTAAATTTAAACTCACAAGCTAAACCAACTGTAAAGCAGTTTTATGTATAATTTTTCTATGTTGGGCAGGAAAAAAACGTTCCCTACCAAACTAAGTTCCACTCTTACGTCTAATTATGTCTAATTATGACGAAAAATGTCTAACCACATCAGAAAATCAGTAATTTCCACAGCCCTTTAACAAGGTAACTTATAACTGCTTAGTATTTTCCAATGTGGCGTCAAAACAAGATAAATCAAACAGGAATTCCATTTGAGGAAATGGTTGAAATCTGTTTTTAAAATCTTCACAGTGCCTTGGAGAATAGATACAACAAATTGCTCCTTTCAAAGCATCTATAAAGAGACCATATTGATATATTTTTAAATGTCGCACACAGAGACAGACAAAGGCCAGACAAACGATCTAGGACATTTCAAATCCGATCATATTGCAAAATTCCAGATAGGCAAGTGAAGTAGAATCGGTATACACAGAGGTGCAAAGCTAGTGGGTGGCATGAACCGAATTATTTTCAAGTGAGCAGATTTATTTACGACTTGGACGAACATGTCATTCCTGACCGGGATACACTTAAAAGTATTTAAAGTTGCACATAAATATAAATGTATACACGCTCTCACACATGTTTTTCCTCATCTTCCAGCTGATCCAGGCACAAAACAAAATGTTTGCAAGTTTTATGGGGGGTTTTTTTTAATCCAATTTCCATTTTTTATACTTGCTAAATTGTATGAATTTGTGACAGGCTAAAGATGCTGACAGACAGTTTTTTTTTTATTATTAACAGCTAACCTCTCCCTTTTTGAGCCGTGTCATTCTTTCCACTAGTTCCCCCAAGCTGCTTCACTCTCAGAGGGAAAGGGGGAATATCAGGCAGCAGCAAACAGGACTGTAGTTTAAACTCTGCCACACAACTCACTGAAACCCATTGTAAACACACTGGAAAGAACAAAGTTGGAAGTTGGCCTCATTTCAATTCCTGGGAATTTACTAGCTTTTCACCATCAGACTTCACTTTTTAAATTTTATTTTAACAAATGGAGTTTCAAGATGAGTAACCTAATACAGAAAATTGTAATCAATTTAAAAAACTAATAAAGTCCATTGCATTCAGGGGATTAAAATGTAGAAAGGACGCATGTTATCACGACACACATTTACATCTGGACCTTTAAGTGTATTCAAAACAGAACGAGAATATTTTACTTGTTCCATGTTCATTCCCGTCTCTACTGTGACCGCCGTACGGCAAAGAAACACATATCAGGCTACAAAACACGGCTCGTTTCTAACAGAAGTCCCCGCTGGGTCACTGCTTTTATGATTAAAACCTGTTTTATAGCCATTACAGAACTTCCTTTCAAATATGGCCAGTTTTATGAACGGGGAAACCCCCTAATTTAATGTGTTTCTTTTTAGCTTTGCTTTTTTTTAAAAATCCGAGCATAATGTTTTCATTTGCTTTCTCGTGGCTTTAAGTATTACACGTATGAGAAAAATCATAGACGGAGACTTTAAAAATTTGCTGATACATAAGCTGCCAGTTTTTGGCCCTGTGTGTCCGTGTTAGTGCTTTAAAGACGAAATCCTGCATTTCTCCACTGAATACCTTTGTAATATGAATATATGTGCAGCAGAGCTGGCGGCACATTGCCCTTGTGTTTACCCATGCCCTTGTGGTCACACATGTTTGTAGGAAGGGTAATTAACCCATTAAGGGATCAGGTGAAGCCTAATCCAACCGGTCTGTGGACATCAAACAAAAAACTGCAATGGCAGGGTCTAGACAGGTGAAAGCTTGGGTGTTCAGTAACCTAAGTAGGGCAAAAACATAATAGTGACTACTCTGTAGCGCGGACCTCTGCTTTACTTCAGAGTACTTGTGCTTGACCTCCTTGTTCACTCTGAGTGTCCATTTCCACAACAAAAGCCTAATAGGTTGTGTGTGGTTATTCAGAGTAATGTGTAGTGAAATGTAACACTGACTGGCTGTGCAATTGGGCTGGGTGTTAGTTTCTTGTACAACAAAAGACCCAAATCTACCACGAGGACACAGCTGAGACATCTGAAATGCTCCTGTGGACGAGCGGTGCATGAAAAACCAGATATTTTATTTATTAAAAAAGCTAAAGAAAATATGTTTTTGCTTTAAATCTATTATTAAAATCTATTCCATTTCATTTTAACTGAGGTAAGGTCAACAAGTTGGATATGCTAGCTGGGAACACCCAAAAACACCCAACCAGAATCTAAACAAGTGCAGATGGAGAGTCATAATTTTGCAAAAATACTGTTTTTTGGAAATGCGGTGAAGTTACAAGTTTAACCCCCCCCCCCATGTTTCATGCTCGTACAGCTGTGGTGTCAATACTAAAACTTTTATCTTTCCTGGTAGACAGATTTTTGCATCATATCTTTTGGTGCGGAACCAACTTTTTAGGGCAGTAGAAGGAAATTCCAAGAACAAGCCAGACAAGTATAATTCTGGGAAAGCTGGAAAAGGATGCCAGAGATGTTGCCATGTCACATTAAGAGCTTAGAGGTGTTAAAATACGTTCCACGCATTCCCTTAGGAGACAGAGACGAGGGATTCACACTGAAGACACATGGCGTCCTTGACAATAAACAAAGTCTTCTAAAATGGAAGCCCCAGTGTTTTAAGTATTCACTGTTGCTAATGAAAAGAATCACATAATTCAAGAAATTGGACACAATGATTAGTCACACAAATCTAGTCCTGTTTTCTACAAACACCAACAGTTTTTGGGGTGTGTGTGGGGGGGTTGTCCACCAAGCAGTGTAGTCCTGGCACAAAGATTTCAGCCTATCGCATGTCAGACATGTTTTAAACATTCCCACAGCGTTGAAATCTTATAACCATTAGTAAAATGACAGTAGCTCCGAGGCACAGAGGCTGCACCGATTTTCAAGAGGGGATGGCAGACTTTAGCAATCAAATCGATTCCCCTGTTTCAACAAGTGCTTCCGAAGTGCACAAAAACACCTTCAGATGACCTCGGGCCAGCAACTTCAAATGGATTCAGCTCAATCAAACGCTTCCAAAAACCCACAAAACAGGAAGATTCTCAGACTGTAGAGGAGAGCTGACAAGATGAACTCCCGTAGAGTGGGCCATGCTGTTGTAACAGTTATTTATGCCTCTTTCATTTCAAGGGTCTTTCTGTTTTAAATGGGCAGCATTAAGGCGAACCGGCACTAAGGTCTGTCCTTGGAGGCACGGTCCAAATTCCAGAGAATCTTGGCAACTCCTCGGGATAGATGGGACCCTTATGGATATAAAACCTCACAATGGATGAATAGGTAAACAGAAGGGTGTGAAAGAGTGATGGCAAAAAGAGAATGTTCACTCTCAGAGAGGCACAAAGAGGGAGGTGTGTGAGTGGGAGATGGGAGAAAGCCAGAGTGTTTGGGGGAGGAAGGGTGGGAGGGTGAAAAGGAGAAGGGTCTGGAGGGAGTTGTTGGTGAGAGTTAAAGTTTTGTCTCCAGGCTTTTAGAGGGTGCTGCGTGTAGTGCTAACTCAATCAAAAGGTGAATTATACCTCCTGAGACACTCAGGTAACCTTTCATTATGGCCCTAATCCTTCTTAATAACAGAGCCGCAATGTCGGCAATGCCCCATTACACAGAGAACCACTGAGAGGAAGAGCCATTATTCCCCACAGGCCTGTGGAAATGTGAACACAAAACACTCACTCACACACACTCGCACTGACAGATGAAATCAATCACAAATTTGACTTGAGTGAGAAAAACGCATCGCACTCCGTCACTGGGAAATTGAGACATTGAAGGAGGGTAGTGTGTTTATGCGGGATCGGTGTTTAGACTTCCACTTTTGCCAGACAAGATTTAAAGTGATCAGAATTAACACTCAAGTAATGCTGCGTGTCGAGAAAAAGAAAGAAAACGTCGGCAAGGCAAGGAAGTTGTGGGTTTTTATTTGTTTATTTTTTGTCTTTGTTTTTTTTTAACATTCAAAGTTATTTATTTTTTATTACACACACGGACAAACTTTGTCCTGATGCCAGAAAAACACAGTCAAAAACCTTCACTGCTGTAATTTTTCTTCAGTAAATTGTTTTTGTTTCAGCTTTTGTTGATGAAGAGTTTTTCACTTTCTCTGGGTTTTTATAAAAGCACATGAGACTGACAATCTTGGATAAAGCCTCATGTCTGAGTTTTTTGTTTTTTAAATCCCCTTGATAAATAATTAACTTTAAGGTCTTCGCTGAACTTACCACATACATTAAAGTATTCACTACTAAATTATTAAAGGTGAAAGAAATTGATTTTAAGCGCTAAGAGAAAATTACTCCTCAACACTCTGATTTTTTTAAATACTTTGATTTACCCTTGTCTTATTTCCCAGCCTAATGAAGCCTTAAACTCTGACTCCACTATGGCTCGAACCAAAGCAACTTAAAAGGCAGTCAACCCCAAAATGTGAAACAAAATGAGCAGCCCGATAACATCTAATGAAAACAGGCCTAATGTAGCTTTCATAAATCAACAGACTGTCCTCAGTGCTTATTCCAGCTGCAATTAGGCTACCTCTATAAAAGCTGAGATGTTAAATAAAGATTTCTGGGTTATGAGGAACAGCCTTTATCAGTGATGTGGTTGTGGGGGGAAATAAAATGCTGGAAAAACACAATCTATCATCGTGGCAATTTAATGACCGAAAACATTGCACAGATTTCAATGAGACTGATAATAAAGTTGGGGAATGTTCAGGCGTAATATTAACTGAAGTATTTAAATTGTGTGTGTGAGTGTGTGTTTTCTCTCTCTCTTTATAAAAAAAATTACTTTATTAAATATTCACCTGTACCACTCCAGCCCGTTGTGGTAGTTTCGGTCGAAGAAGTGCGGCTCGGCTCCCACGGCTCTGATGTCAGGATGAACCCGAAGAAACTCAAGCAGAGCCCGGGTCCCTCCTTTCTTTACCCCGATGATGAGAGCCTGAGGTAGCTTCTTGCTCCCCTCCCCGAGCGGACTGACTTTACCTGCGAACCTGGGCGACACTCTCCTGGAAACTACTAAATCCGGAGGTGGCAGCACGAGAGCCTCTTCGGGCAGCTCCGAATCCTGCGTCGCGCGCTCATCCGCGAGGACCTGTGAGGTGCGCGCGGCGGTCCCGTAGCGGTTCAACTCCGATCCGCCAGTCCATTCATATACCAGTCTCTTGGTCCTCAGCGAACTCAGGTCCTCGAAAAGACCAGCAGTCCGACTAGAGGAGCCTCTGGGCGGTGAGTTGCCGGTGGTGGTGGTGGTGCAGCTTTCGGTGAGGAGGTGCAGGAGGAAAAAAGAGGCGAGGAGGGAGCACAGCATGACCACCGCTTTCCTGAAGATGCCTCGGGACGGGGGGTCCAGTTTAGTGATGCGGCTAAAAGCCATACCGGTCCCTTGGTGGTCGGTGCAGGAGCCACAGCCATGCTAGGCGCACATCACTGAGTCTTCTTGCCATGAAGGAACTAAAGTGTCTACATCCACAGTAAGCTGTGGATAACACCTCAATCTCCTCCAAAAGTGCCAAATGATGGATGCCTGCTGTGAACAGGTGTTAAGAACTTGCCCCAATAACTGTGCCACAGTATCCCCTGAAAGGTGAGCGTACAGCGAATCATACACACAGGTAATAAAGTCTGTGCTATCCTTGCTCTGTAAAGGATGCTACCACATCTCTCCCTGACATACCAGCAGCACGTGTATAGAGTTGTAAACTTGTCTCGCACGTCAAGTTTCTTGAGAGGCACCTCTCTGGCCAATAATATCAAGAGAGAAGCAGATAGGAGCCAATGATATTCCAGGTGGGGGCGGGGACACTGTTGCACAGCCACTCTGCGAAATTAGATGGCATCTGCATGTGCAAATTAAAGTTAAAATTATCCGACAGGGGGAATGCTACACACTAAAATACACGGTAGAAAAAAGTACAAAGAGATTCGCGAAAATCCTTTATTTATTTAGGACCTTAAGGAGGTTAGGCTTAAATAAGCCTAACCTCCTTAAGGTCATTTTCTGAGTTTTAAAAGAATGATCATATACACTATAACTAGTAAAATACAGTCAAATTCTCAAAACATTATAATGCATAATAATAAACTCTTGAAGGTTTGAAACACACATTAAGCTAAACACACACTACTTCGTCTGTCATGCTTGCAGGAGCAATTTTGCAAATGTTAAGTGCACCATTCCCTCTAAAATTACTGTGGCAGCATCTACCCAGATGACAAAATCACTCCTCAAATCCCCAAGACACTCACTTTTTTCTGCCAGTGAGAGGGAGACATGCAACCTAAGTGGGGCCACCAAAGAAGATGGCCTCCGCCATGAACTCCTTTTTATAACACATAGAAGAACAAAAAAAGTGAAATAATGATAACGGGACACATTATTTCTTTACAAGTGAACAAGAACAGAACCAAATGTTTCACATCTGCTCCTGCCTTTTGGGTATTAGCATGAGAATGTGCAGGCAGTGCTTCAATGCTGCACAGCTCACTGCTTGAGAAAGCCGATGGAGACCTCAACACTGGGCAGTATTGCCAGTGCCAGATGTCCCCCCATGTTGTTGAAACAGTACAAAGGGGGTGTCTCGCATTTAACCAACCACACCCCGTGTCTTTTCTCTGTCTCTCTGACATTGGAGGGATGTCCAACCCCTTCAAACCAACCATTATGACTCCCAGCATTCCCTAGCAGGGGTCAAATGGCTTCACATTTCTGTTTATCATAGACGGACACTGTTAAAATAATGATGCTCAAATAGAGAATGGTCTCAGGACAATCAAAATGCTCAAAGTTTTTAGATTTATTTATTTACACACCTCCCCAAAATTGCTCCAAGACCAGAGGTCACAAGATAAATTCGAGGGGTCACACATGATTAATGGGAAAATAGATAATCCAAAATACATGTCCACACAAAGCAGTGCTTATAAAATCTGTAGTCTCACACTTTTAGTCCAGCAGTTTTATGCAGCAGTTAGACGATCCATAATCGTAGTAAAAAAATAATCATATGTTAGAAAACATTGTTATAACTAAAATCTTGCATTCAAAACATTACTTAGTGTTTGAGTGAAACACAAAGTGTAAAAGTACTACTAGCAAAGTAATAATTTGCTTCCTCAAAATGCAGCAGAATGTCCCCTTGGAATAATTTTATATAT